TTGTCTGCAACACTTCTGCACATTGGCTACCCTGTAGAAATTTGTAAAGCCTAGAGCATTTTAAAGCCATGCTGCAGACAGCATCTTCTGCACTGTAGGGAAAGAAAAATATTTAGACTCTAGACTGACAAGCAAATCAGCTTTTTTTCATGCAAGGTTTAATAGATTAGTTTAATATATTTTACTTAATGCATTTATTGGGGTACTTAAAAATACTAAAATTATTCAGGTACTTAAAATTTTAATCATTTCAGTCTTCCGATCAGCAAGCCTGCTTTATCCCATCCATACAGCATCTTACCTGACTGGGCTGCTGACGGTGTGCTAGACTGCCCAGAAATATCACAGTCCTGAGTGCTCCACGGTCTGTCCCAACCAGTCAGGCTGAGAGACTGCAGACCAAGGCACAAGTCGTTTGTGTCAGGAAGGCCACGAGGGGATGGATCATGGGATGTAGGGAAGAGCATCCTGCTTGCTGTCGCTCCCTCTGTATCTGGGTAGTCTGCTTAGAATGGAAGGAAAATAAAGCTGAGAATTCTTCAAGATGATTCTAGTGAACATGAAGAAATCTTCACCTGCAGCAGGTGGCATCCACTGCCATGCAACAGAAATATACCCACACCCTTGTGTTCTGTCTTGCCTGCTATGTTGAAAGCTCAGGAATCATTGTCTTAGAGTCATACAATGCAGTCCTGGAGGTAGGAGAAGCAAAACTTCCATCTAGATTTTGCAGCTATCCAAGTAATAGTCTCCTGCGCACATAAACGCAGACACTTTGCTTCAAGTGGCTCTGCCTTCATCCCTCTCCCCAGCACCCCTCCCACACACATTGTTCTGGATAGACTCCAAGCCTGAATCAGCAGCAGTAATGCTAGGCTTCATCATTGTGCTAGCATAATCTGTTTGCTTGAATACAGACAAGAGCTTGGTGTATGAAGCACTGTTTAATAGGGAGTAGCTAGGCAAGCCTTCACAGACTTCTAAATTCAGAGGGCTAGCTTTCACTCAAAAAGATTCTTACCAAGCCACTTAAAGCCAGGGTCAGCACCCATGCATGGCCTGAATATTTTATCTATCCACCTCTGCTGTAAACTCTGGTTGTCTAGTCTAGACAACCCCTTATATTTAAGAGTGCAATATTCAATTCCACTCTGCTCATGGGCAGCACAGAATTTCCTTCCCCAGTAGCTGGACTGCAGATTGAAGTCAATACATTTAAATGTTGCCCAGAGATCCCTTCATCCAACAGAGCGATAGAAAGCTGCAGCAAATACATTGGAAATATCTATCCCGCAGCCTTCACATTAAAGGCTGGATTTTACACTGGAATGGACATATCAGGGTCAACAGCAGTCAAAGTAATTGCCTTGGCAATGAAGTCTCACTCCTCAGCAGATATGCAATTTAAAATGTTAAAGCAGATCTGTTAAGTAAAAGCAATACCAAAAACCTTGTCATCCAAATACCCATATGCAACCTAGTTCCCAGTTTCTGGGCATGTTCACACTGGATGGTAGTCTAGTATACTAATGCAGTGACTTACAGTAAACAAGCCTTTAAAAATGTCAGTTCTGGTTCAATACCTTGTTTATCACTTGTTGCTGTTAAAAGGGGCACTAAAGTCAGGCATTAATGGTTAAGGTACATGAATGCATTTAGATTAACAAAAATGTATCCCATTTGATCATCACTTGGCTGTAGATCCTCAAATCTCTGAATTGGTGCCAACACCATCCTTTCTTCCAGAGGGTGGCTACTTGTGCTCTCCATGGTCCCCGTGTGTTGTACCCACCACTCCCAAGTTTCACTCCTGTGATGGACTACAATCCCATGTTTAGTTAAGTTTGTAATGAGTTGTATTTATCACAGGAGTGAGCTTGGAGCGGTGGCTACTTTACAACACACAGTGACCATGGGGAACAAAAGTAGCCACCCTACAGAAGGGACAGTGTCAGCACCAATTCAGAGATGCACAAATAAACTACATTTTTGTTGATAGGGTACTTTAATGGATTTATAAGATTTAACACCTGTGTTTAGTGAACCACTTTTAAACCAGCAATCCAAGAGGTCACTACCCAAATTATTGGTCTTGCAGAGATGCCTGGATCACAAGATTAGCTTAACAGAAGGGCATTAACTGGACTACCCAAAAAATGTTATTTCACTTGCGCATTTAGCCTCACTGCTGACCCTAATGCTAATGTCTGGCTGTAAGTCACTTGCCTTGGCTTTATTTGAGTCACTTGTCCTGAAAAAGCATACATCCAGTGAAGAGTAAAGCCAACGTTCTGGATTTGCATACTTTTTCCAGATCAGCAACTCACCAGCAAGACAGCTAGCATTTTAAGGAGAAGTCCGAGATGGCAGCCCCTATATTTTTCAGAACAGGTTATAGGGATAAAGGAGTTTATTGCAGTCTTTCCCAGTTAGGATTTGAAAACCAGAATCATAAGATTGCCCAAAGTCAGTCTACCGAAAACAGATATTTCAGCTGTGATAATGCTAGTACATCAAATCTGGCTTTAGAGCTGTAGCACTGCCTACAGAAACCAGGTGTGCTATGCATTCTGCTTTAATAGCAGCAGAGTATTTCTGCTAGTCTGAAAGCAAAAGGCAACTATGTGCAGATAAGTGTGTGGACCGAACAAACCTGGCTATCACCGTTTAAGTCCTTGAGTGACAAGAACCCAGTGAGGTATTCTTAATGTTGGCAGCCAACCCATACTGAAGTACAAGTGTCAGAGTTGTTACACAAGTTTATTTTACATTGCATACCATAAAGTTAATTGTATATTACATTCACATACATGTACAGAAGCACAGCTTTTATGCCCACATAAAAGTGTACCTTGCAGGTGATCACATTTACCCTTGGCATTGGGAGTGGTACACACACCAGTGAAGTCCAGAGAGTTGTCCAACATGGCATTTATCCTTCTGAAAATATCTGCATTGCTGCATGTAGAAAGAGCTGGAGTGTCAGATGGGCATCCCCAGCAATCCTTTGTTCTTCCTAAATCATCTTTCTGCAAGAAAAAAAAACATCCTTAAATACACCAAGCTTTGTGAGGAAACTCTTCTAACCCTGATACAGTGCACCTTTCCCCTTTAACCTTGTGTATTGAAGTCTCATACCAAGAGGAGTCCTCTACAATCCTAGGATTCGTCTGTCTGAAATAAAACCGGCACTGAATATTATATATATATATATA